GCAGTTAGTTACTTGGAATCAGTTGAATCTTTTTGAACTTTGCTTGCAAGCTTTGTTAGGATGGATCCAGACCATCCTTTAGTTGAGCATCCACTTAGCTCTATTATGGTGGTGATATTCTTCTACATAATGCACCTGGTCTTACGATATCTTTATACTCTGACTGGTAGGAACACAAATTATTCCTATTCTGAGTAGGCTTCTGTAATTGTTCTTCCTACTCTTTTCTGTTGATTCTTTCCCTGTTACACATGTCTTTTTCTACTTAGCAGAGGACTCTACAGAAATCTGGAGCTCTGTCTCTTGCATATCTCTCCTTTTTTGTTTTTTGCCCCACAAATTTTAGCTCTCTTGGCCCTTGCAAATTCCAGTCCCTGTCTTCTGAACTCAAGGAGAAGTGCTGGGCTGTTTGGATTATCCCTCTGCAGTGAGACCTAGAAACTACTGCTGAACAGTAACCTGGTATAGTTGTAGAGCTCATTTTATTTGTGTCCCTTCTCTCAGGGACCTCTGTACTGCTATTTTGTCATTCATTACATGAAAACTGGTTTCATGTATTTTGTTCAGGTTTTCAGTTGTTTAAGTTATGAGGGTAAATCCAATTCCTATAACTCCACTTGACACTCTTATTTGATTTAATTTTAAAAATTGTCTTGCTTTTCAGAGTCAGTCTCTTGTTCTTAGGGGGATTAAAGACCTAACAAAATACATACAAAGTGCTTTCCCCCTCATTGTGTCCTTGTTTGGCTGAGTCTCAGCTGTGTGGTATCTTTCTGGTGTCTGATTAATATCTGGATCTCTTCTCCAAACAGCTGGACTATTTTGCATAGGAAATGGCACTGCTCCTTTGGCACCTTCAGAAATTACCTAAATCTCAAGTCTCCCATATTTCCAAAGTTCCAAGGAATTGTCAGAACACAGATCTACTGAACTAAATATTTCTGGTCTAAGTACAAATTGTCTTATGCACACGTATTTCCCAAGCAACCCAGTATTTCCAGTACTAAATACATATCCTAGAATCTAACCCTGATTTGTTATCAGCCAGAGACTACCAAAGAGATGCAGCATATTTAGGAGATCATATAAACAGAGAAAACGGATTAGGAAAAGAGAGAGAGGGCAATAGAGAAAGGCTTTCAGTGTCTCCATAGGGCCTGGCTAATTGATACCGATTGTCTAGTCTACTACCCTTGAATTTCAAACTCAAATGTAATAGCTCTTCTGACAAAGGATCCTTACACTGTAATTGTCATGCTTGGTGGGAAGAGGGAAGGGGAGGGAAAATATGCACAACTCTGAAACATTCCTTTCTTCTAATAAAATGTCTAACTTTGAGACGGTAACATCTGTTTCTCCATGTCTTTGTGAGACCCTTTTCTTCCATTTAGTGTCCAGATTATATATTTTGAATTCCCCAAAAAGGGAAAACAAGATGTTTTCTATCCCTTTTGGACTCTGCATTCTTGCTTCTTCCCTCCAGAGTCCACACTTAAATGAGTTCAGGAGTATACCTTGTAAGAGATATTATTGGTGCTCCAGCCACATTCTCTTGGGCCTTAACTTTGTGGTGCACTCCCTGTCTTACTTCCAACTGCCAGTGTGTGTACCTCTTTGCTGGGAGCCTTGCTAAGGCAGCTGGAACATGCTTCTTGTGCCCAGGATAGGTTAGAAAGCCTCATAATCAAGAGCTTGGGTGGGATATCTTTGAATTGCCTGTTCTCCATTGATTCCTGAAGTTTCCCAGCAGGATGACGCTCCAGTTGCCACAGTGGTAGCTGTCTCATTTCCCACTTCCCTGCAGCTGTTTCTTGGATTACCTCCCAAATAAACTACTTGTACTCAATTCCTGATTTCTGAAGGAATCCAAATGTAGTTAGTCCTACTTTCTGGCAAGCAAGCAATTCCCCACAGATGACAGGAGACTCTAGAAGTAAAATTCACAGCTTTGCATTCCCAGCAATGCTAGTCTTCAATTCTCACTGAATATAGGAGAAAGAAGCAAAACAAACGTAAGATAGGGAGTGCACTGCCCCCTACTCTATCTTCATACTGTCAGGCCCCAAATACACTTCCTTATCTGAGCTGGGCCTGTCTCAACCTAGAAATGAATTCCTATCCCCAACTAAGAACAAGTGCTATTGCTCCAATTGGGATCAGTTACAATATTGCTGTTATCATATGTACTTCAAGAATGAACCTGTCTTAGCCCTTAAGATAAATCTTTATCCCCACTGAGATGACTTCTAGAACCATGATGGAGAACATCTCCCAATGCCAGAGACTTTTTTCCCTCCACCTGGGGCTTTTCCCATGAGAAATAAAGCTGCTCTTTATGTTCTGAGTGAGCCCGTCTCCCATATTCTGTGCTTTTCTGCATATACCCAACTTCAGCAGGTGTGATTCTGGGACAAGATTTAACTGGGATCCTGAATGCTCAGATCATTGCTCAGCTGCCTATTGTGACTGCTGCCACTCCAGTTAGTCCCCAGAGATATGTACCTTGGGTCCTTTCCAGTGAAAAGAAATACCTTATTAGTAGCTTACACCCAAACTCTTAAGTGATATATTACTTTGATGAATTGGTCGTAGCTTCCTAGCTATGAAGAATACTAATCTACAGGCTTCTGCTGCAGCTCTGTGCCTTCTTACCTCTGAGATCACCACCCTAGAAGAATGCCTCCTGCCAAGTGGAAAGAGATTTTAGAACATTATTTTCAGAAAAAGCACATGAAGAAGTGAGTTATAAGAGGATAAAACAATCTTAAAAAGGGAGGCTAAAAGAGCTCTCTACATGGAAAACAAATTTATCTCTTCTCCAAGGAAAATTCCACCTCTGATTGCTTTTCTGATTATTGATCACATAGTGTCCTTAGATGCTCCTTGAGGAGGGTGTGAGGTTAGATTGGGGTACCAGACTTGTTGAAAATCAATATTTTTTCTTGTTCCAAATAAAACAGATAAAACTTGAACCAGTGTTCAGAGTATCAAAGAAATATCTAAACTAAAGAAACACAAACAGAAAACCTGGACTTTTGTATGAGTCAGGAATAAGTACAGAATTTGTTACTGGTTAGTGGGTACAATATTTTCGCTCTGTTCTAGAACAGGAGTCCCCAACCCCTGGGCCGCAGACTGGTACCCGTCCTGGGCCTGTTAGGAACTGGGCCGCACAGCAGGAGGTGAGCGACGGACCAGCAAGCGAAGCTTCATCTGCCGCTCCCCATCACTTGCATTACCGCCTGAACCATCCCCTCCCCTGTCTGTGGAAAAATTGTCCTCCATGAAACCGGTCCCTGGTGCCAAAAAGGTTGGGGACCGCTGTTCTAGGAGACCAGCCTGAGAGGATTGAATTTTAGGATACATGGATATACTGATGAATCAGAAATAAGTGAGGAACTTGTGAATGAAAAATGTTGCCAGCCGTATCCATGAACAAAGGAGGATGCAGCCATCAAGCCACTACAGGCGCCCCTGACCCTGAGCCCTGAAGGAACTCAGGATGGAGACAAAGGGACTGCCCATTGCCAAACCCTCAGCCACTGCAGCCACCCCCATCAATGCACCCTGAGGGGACGCAGGATGGGAAAGAACAGGATACTGGCCCCAGATAGCTGAGGAATGATTTCAGTGAGCCCAGACCCTTGCTTCTTCCCATACATGGAAAAGCGCTAAATTCATTAACTTGAGATGTCTGGGTTTCTTTAATTAATGGTAATATTTTGATGTTCCGACTGCCTGGGCTTTGGTACAAAAGCCCCTACATATCCTGGTTCCTCCCTTACCTCTTGGGAGCAGTCCCTCAGAGCTAGCTGAGAGGCTGTGTCCCAGGCTTAAGTCCTCAGTTTTGTCCATCAAATAAAACATAATTCTCAACTTTTAGGTTGTGCACTTCTTTTCAGTCAACAAACTAGAAGAGAGGTGGGATGGTAAAACAAGATGAGATCATTAAAAGAAAGAACAGTGGGGATTTTATTAAGCCACTGTGTGAGGTACTCCAAATTATGTTGGATTTCAAAGGTCAAATAAGAGTATAAGTAGAGGAATAGAAGGGAAAGGAAGATGACTGGGAGGCATTTCAGAAAAGGGAGAAGTAGGAAGGAGAGCAATGGGGAAGTAATAGATACAATTACATGTGATTATATGTGAGATTACATGCGAGAGAGAGAGATGAGCAGTTAAGGAAATAAGTCAGGAAGTTGAGGAGAGAGAACTAGATAGAGCAGGAGTCAGTGGCCTGTGGGTCACATCTGACTTGCTGCCCCCATTTTTGTAAATAATTTCATAGGTGCGCAGTCAGGCTCATCCGTTTACATATTGTCTATGACTACTTTCATACCGGAACAGCAGAGTTGAGTACTTGTGACAGAGATGCTATGTGACCTGCAAAGCCTAAAATATCTATTTTCACATAAAGATTGCTGACCCCCGGACTAGAGGGAAGGAGGGTAAAGTAGGAGAAATCAATTGGTTAATGAAAGAGTCATAGGTGACCAGTTGCCAATGAGGATGGCTTTAGTGAATGTTGTCGTTGTCCTGCCCAGGTCCTCCAGCTTCTGTGAACGTTGTGTCAACTGAAAAAAAAACGCACAACCTAAAAGTTGCGAGTTATGTTTTATTCAGTGGGCAAAACTGAGGACATCAAGCCTGGGACACAACATCTCAGATGACTCTGATAGACTGCTCTGCGGAGGCAAGTGAGGAGCCAGGATAGACAGGACTTTCTGCACCAAAGACCAGGTTGTTGGAGCATCAAAAGATTATGTTAATTGAAGAAAACCAGACATCTCAAGTTAAGGAATGTAGTGCTTTTCTATGTATGGGGAGATGCAAGAGTCTGGGCTCACTGAAATCATTCCTTTGATGTGCACCTCAGCTCTCTGGGGACAGCATCCTGTGTTTTCTCATCCTGAGTTCCCTCAGGGTGTACTGTAGGGGTGGCTGTAATGTGATGGCTTGACTACAACATCCTTTTGTTTACTGATATCTTTCATCCACAGATGATAACCATCGCAGATGTTCCCTTCTGAGAGATGACCTTGGCTAATGTCTGCAGCAAGTATATACAAAGGCCAGCCCTCTTCCCTCAAGGTGCAATTCTGTGCTGCAATTCAGCCCCTAGGGCTTCCCCAGGGATCAGACTGAAGCTGGTTTCCAGCTGAGAGCACAGTCCCTCTTCCTGTTGTTGCCCTGCCCTGCCCTGCTTCCCTCACAATCCTACTCCTCAAAGTACTCCCCCAGTAAATCCCTTGAACCAGAATTCCTCTCTCAGACCCTGCTTCTATGGAACTTGACTGAGGCAGTACTATTTTAATGTCAGAAAGTGTGCTTAGCCAAGTTTTTAATAGAAATAAACGCGAAGCACCAAAGACCACAGTGACTTTTATATTTTCTATAGAAAAATATGATCATTAAAATTGTCAGCAATAAAATTAAATTACAAATTATGGTCTGAGAAGCAGACTAAAGCAGTTTGCCACATCATATTCTTCTTAGTCACAAGCACTGGATTTGCTTGTGCATATGGTAGATACACACAAGGTTTGAGGTCTTTGTCATCTGTGAAGAAGCTGCTCTGGACAAGTGTCTGTGATTAGGCAGGGGGCCTTTCTAACTAGCGGCTACATTCAGATCATTCAAAACTTTCTCTGTGGAACGAATTTATGGTTACCAGCGGGGAAGGATGGAGGGAATGGATAGTTAGGGAGTACGGGATTGACATGAACACACGGCTCTATTTAAAGTAGATAACCAACAAGGACCTACTGTATAGCACAGGGAAATCTGCTCAATATTATGTAACAACCTAAATGGGAAAAGAATTTGAAAAAGAAGAGATACATGTATATGTATAACTGAATCACTTTGCTGCCCACCTGGAACTATCACAACATTGTTAATCAACTATACTCTAATATAAAATAAAAAGTTAAAAAAAAAACTTTCTCTGCAGCATGAAACCCATGAAGCCATTTGTGTCCTAACCAAATCAAAAAAAAAAAAGGAACTATGCCTTGGGTTCTATAGCAGCAAAGAGATGTCTGTCCTGTTCTCAATCTATTGAATTTCTTCTATTCCTTTTCATCATCCTGAGAATATTGGGATATATAATACATTATACATCCTGTTCTTCTGCTTGTGGAAGTCCAGAAAACTTAGAAAGGGACTCATAGACCACAGCAGTGGTTCCCTAAGTCTGTGAAGTTTCTTGTTTCTCTCAACTGGTATGTCCTAGGATAACACCCACTAATACAACCAGGAGGCAGAAGAGTGGAGAGTTAACATAAACGCGACTTGTAGCAGTATCGGTAAAGTGGCCATGGGATCTTTGGAGGAAGCAGCAGGAACTAAAGTGAAAAACGTTTTCTCCAGCGTTGCTCAGCCTGAAATGCTTGCTTTTTTACTAATAATCTGCTTTCAAAAGTCTATTAATCCTTCAAGGCTTAGTTCTAAAGGGCTTTTTTCTTCACATCTGCAAAGTTAGCATTACTTATGTGGGTATTCATCTACTACTATATCTATACTTTCCCATATAAAATTGCCAACTTGTATCAAGAACTATGTCTAAAAGCAAACAATTAATCACATGCATAAACCAAATACTGAATCTCATTTACACATTTAACCACCGCATTTTTAACTAATAGTGACTGACGCTAAATGCCCATGTAGTAATTTTGAAAATACTGAGGCAAGAACTGGAATTGAGCATACTGTCAGGCTAGTGGGTAGCAGCAAGCCACTGAGCCAGCTGGTAGACCTTACAACACCCTGGTGGGATTTCGCTGTCCTCGGCACACTAGCCCTTGGGTAAAATACCTTAGTTCTTTGTGAAAAATAACACTCCCAGTGAAGCCAACTGCTTGTACTGGTGAAGACAAGAAGTTAGAAGTAGCTCTAAAAGTACAGAGACCCTGGGTTAGGGTCAGCAAAAATGGAATTTGTCCCATTATCCCTTTCTCTCAAGCCCATAGAAGATATTGCAAGTTGACCATTCATTTTTTCCTGCTAAGTTTAGCCCCTGCCTCACAATTATTTTAAGCTTAACTCTCTGGGCAGTCCCTACCAATACATCAGAGTAGGCACTTAAAATACTTGTTAACCATACTTGCCTTAGTCCAAAGTAATTTTTCTCAAATTACCTTTTATCCTTTTTTTTTTTTTTTTTTTTTGCATAACTCAATTCAGATTTTCTGGCCTTACCATTTTCTTTTCCTTATTGGTAGCTGTGTTTTGATAGCTCACACTCTTCAATTAACTTTTGTTTTCAAAACACTACAGCAACTACTACAGCTTAGTTACTAAATTCAGGTTGTTGGCACATACAAACTCCTCTGGGTGTGTTTGTGATTAGGCATTACAGAATTCTCATTGGTTGAGTTTTCTGTAGGTTAAGCCAGGTTTGCTCACTGAGGTGTAGCTTTGAATAACCACTCTCACAGTAGAGTCATGTTTCATGTGTTTTATATTATATATATTTTTTGGTGGTGGACATTCTATGAATGTCTGACAATCTTTAGCTCAAATCTATAAATGCAATGCCTCGAAACATGTTTTCTTTTAAAAGTAGTTGCAAATATATTCTAACTAATGTTGTATGGTTTGTTCAAACTATACTTAAGTAAATGAACTGGGATCTTGTTCACATTTTAATTATGATTTAATCTGAGGTTTGCAGTTTGTCAAGATTCTGCTCCTGTGAGGCCCTTGGTGGACACCTCTTCATCTTATGGTATTTGTGACTCTAGACAAGGTCAAAGAAAGTGATGGTTCTTAGTTGAATTCAACACTCTTATGTTTAATTTATCCCAAATTATTTCTAGCTATTATTCTGTCCATGACCAGAGCAAGTTTACAATATGCACTCTATGGAACAATAAAAGTGATTTGTAAGATTTCAATGTGTTCTTTGGTTAGGCTCATCAAATAAGAGAAAACTTCAGTGAATGCTGAATGAGCAGTTATCTCAGGGGTCGAGGATATGCTTAGGAAACTCATGACTGAGTCTCTTTGCTAATGTGTCTTAAGGTCAGGAGGCTCAGCAGTCATTTCATTGAAGCATTAGAAGGTAAAGGCTTATTTGTCATTGTTGAACCACACTTCTGTGGAGTAAATAAAATGCTATGGAATTTTTCACGTATCGAGGGATTAGCCAAAGTCCCCAGACAGAGCCCTTCTGAATGGCAAAACTCTACTATGTTGAGTACTCGAACGCCTTGCTAGTTCTTTAACACATGAAATGAAATGTGAAAATCTTCTATCTCCTTCAATGTGTTTGAAAGAGCACTCAATGCTGGGCACTATTGATTGAAGTGAAACAACTTATCTTTTTTTGCAACACTTAACGACTGAGATGTGATATTTTGGGGTAAGTCTCTCCTGCTCAAACATTCAAGAGAGATTTATTGTACTTACCTCATGCACCAGGCGTTGTGGCAGGTGCTGGTGATATAATGGTGCAAAAATAAATAACTAAAAGTGATTTTGTGATTATTTGATCATATTTGCTATGAAGGAAAAGAAACAGTGCTATAAATGAGTAGCAGCAGGATGTGACCAGGTCTTTTTTTTTTTTTTTTAAAGGGGAAGTGTTCTGTCAAGGCCAACTTGGACCTTTATGGAGTTAGCTCTTCACCTTAGACATTTTATTATTTTTTTTTTGCTGTACGCGGGCCTCTCACTGTTGTGGCCTCTCCTATTGTGGAGCACAGGCTCCGGACGCGCAGGCTTAGCAGCCATGGCTCATGGGCCCAGCCGCTCCGCGGCATGTGGGATCCTCCCAGACCAGGGCACGAACCCGTGTCCCCTGCATCAGCAGGCGGACTCCCAACCACTGCGCCACCAAGGAAGCCCCGACCAGGGTCTTTTGATTTCCCTGAAATCAGGGAAAGATTTGAGTTGACACCTGCAGGAGGATGAGTAGGAATTAACTAGCTGAATAGAGAGAGTATTTCAGGGAGAATGAGCAGCAAGAGCTAAAGCCCAGTGGTAGGAAGGTGTATGGAACCAAAGAAGGTTGTTGAGGAAACCAGTGCAGGTCACTGTGACTAAGTGCAGGGAGCAGAGAAGGGGAGAAGTGAGAGAAGGGGCTGGTCCTGGACCACGCAGGGCCACATTGGACATACCAAGTATTTCACTATTTGTTTTAAGAGCTGAAGAAGTAATTAAAACTAAGCAAGCCATGAGTATTTCATTTTGGCAAGATCACTCAGGTTTCCATGTTGAAAGGAGGTTTCAAGGGGCAAGAATGTACAGAAGACGAGCAGTTGGAAGGCGACTGTGGACAACCAGTGAAGAAGTGATGCCAACTTGACCAGGATGGTTCAAAGTATCTGAAATCACCACCAACCTCTCCTCTGAGTTAAGAAGAAATAAAGTCCCTGTAAAAGGGTAAATCTTGGAAGCAGATGGCCATTTCCTCACCAGTACCACATAGAGAAAGATTTGACAGACTAGTTCTGGCACAGAGGGAGGCCCCAGAGAATGGGTCCTAGGTTAGCAAATTGTAGAACCCAGAATACTTACTTGGAGGTGTGGTCTGAACAGGTGTGGTAGGAGAACCTTGGCAGCTGAGAGTTAGCTGAGGATTCCCCAGACCTTACACCTGGTAGTGCTAATTGGTAGCTAATTAGAGCAAAAGAAAAGATAGAGGTCCAAAGGGCCAGCCCTATCTCTTCTCTATGCTGCTCAGTATATGCTCTGCCATGTGTCTTATGAATTCATGAGGACACTTTTAAAAATCATAATTATAGAGTGTAGAGTTGGAAGGGATGTGAGATATCATCTGATATAGTGGTTCTCAAAATATGGACCAGAGACTTCTGTTTCTGGGATTATGGAGTAGAGGCATGTATCCCATTTTCTGCTATTTCTCCTGGTAAGTACAACTAAGCACCCTGGACACTTTGTATAAAGCAAACATAAGACTCTGTAAAACAGAAAAAGAAGGCAGACGGGCCTTAGGACCCTAAGGAATAGCACAGTGATGAGTTCCCTTAGTTTTCTTCTAGCTTCACGTATAGCCTTACAGCTGAAGATACTGGCAACGCAGAAACACAAACAGCCACAGACAAAAAAAAAAATCTTCCAGAAAAAGCCTGGTCTTGGACCTGGCAAGGGGCAACCTGGCAAGACAGAAAACTTTTAGACAATAATCATTAAACTCTAGTCAAATTATGATCCCTGGACCAGCAGCATCAGCGTCACCTGGGAACTTGTTAAAAATGCAAATTTCTGAGCCCCACCCCAGACTTCCAGAATCAGAAACTTGGGGGTGGAGCTCAGCAATCTGTGGTTTGACAAGTCCTCCAGGTGATTCTGATGACTGCTAAAGTTTGAGAACCACTGGCATGATACAGCTGGTCTTTCTTCAGTTGAGGAAACTTGAGACCAGAGGCTGGTTGATTTGTCCCAAGTAACAGCATGTGTGGAGTCTAGCTCTTGTTCTAGATTTGCCCAGAAAGCCTCTTCTGGTGCTAAAATCTTAGGAGAACAGAGGAAATTTTAAAGACACACTTGAATTAAGCGTTAACAAGTGTTAACGTGTATTTTTAAGTACTTGGCACATAGCAGGTGCTAGATAAATATTGTTGAATACCGAACAATTTGTTAGTCTTCGACTCAGCTACAGTTTTAGAGAGGATGCTGAAAGAAAAGGGATCTTTTGGAAAACCTCAAACTAGCTTCTGCAAAAGCCTCTACAGCATCTGTAAATCCTGTCCCAGTAAAGAGGGCTGGGCAGGTAAAGGGACTGCATGCTGTTTCACATTCCTGGCCTCTTTTTTTATTTCCAGCCTACATGAACCTGACTT